GGGGGTGGGGGCTGCATCTAGAGAGCAGGCTTGCTTGGGGTCTGGTTTCCAGGAACGGTACATGCTCCATGCCTTTCAAATGCACCAAGGAATGAACACTGGAGTGTCTGGGACTGGGGGGTAGCTGCAGGACCACCAAAGCTTCATGTACAGAAATCATCTTACAGCACAGTGGTGGGCAGCTCCCTGGCTTCCTGCACCAGCTCAGCCCTGAATGTGGTGGCATCTTAGAATGAAGGCACAGAGCATTCCCTGAACTAATGGGGAAAATGATTCAGCCACTGAACGGCGAGATTCCTGGGCTCTCGCTAAACAGATGGGCCTCCCTCCTTCCCTCCCTTCCAACAGTGCTAGCCCGCATCCAACCACCTAGAAGTTTATTGCCTTGTTGTGTTGGTTTGGGTTCATGTCCCCCACCTATACCTCTCCCAATCGCTCCCTTTCCATTGGCTTGAGTTGATCAGGTCTGAGGGAGGCCCTTTGGCACCGCAGGAAAACAAGAAGCAAAGCTGGGGCCTGACTCCTGGAGGCCCACACCAAGGGAGCTCGGTCAGCAAGGGGAGGGGGCCCTCTCCCAGCCCCCCACCACCCTTAGTGGGTCCTAGAGGAGGCCGTGGGCCCAGTCTGGCCTTTCCGCAGGTCTCTGGCCTGCTCTTGGATGATGCACCGACACCCTGCTCAACTCCGCAGCTCCAAGGGCCTGGCTCTGCTCCTGGAAAGCCCCCAACACCCTTCAGCTGGCACAGGGGTGCTATCCCCCACCGAGCAGTGGGGCAACCTGTAGCCAGGGCAGCTGGGCCTCCAGGGAACCCCAGGAAATGCCCAGGTGCCCACGGCCCCGCTGGAGGGAGAAGCTCAACTTCTCCAGAGATAAACACAAGAGGCAAAAAGAAGGTCCCTCCTCCACCCAGCCCCCGGCCCGCCGCACCGGCGCACCTACCTCCATCGGAGTAGGTCTCAGTGCCGTAGCCGTCCTGCAGCCCGTTGCTCCAGGTCCCTTCGTACTTGGCCCCGTTGCCCGTGCACTCCCGCACCCCGTAGCGCCCCTTAAATCCGTGCGTCCACTCGCCCTTGTACACCCACTTCCCCTTGCTCTCCAGGCCGATGCCGTGGCGCTTGCCCTGCGCCCAAGTGCCCTGGTACGTGTTGCCGCTGGGCCAGGTGTAGACGCCCAGCACCTCGAAGCCGTGGCTCCACGAGCCGGTGTATTCGCCCTGGCCCTTGGGGCCGGTGCAGACGCCATGGCCGTGCGCCTTGCCGTCCTCCCAGCCTCCACAGTAGGACCCTCCATCGTCAAAATTAAACCTACCCCCACTGGACATGCATGTAATTCGGTTTGCAAATCCCGCAAACGGTGAAAAAAAAAAAAAA